TGAAGTAGCATGACTTAAGCTACTATATAAAAATAATAAAAGTCACACATATCCCATGCAGTTTTTTCCAGAAGCAAGTTTTTTAACGCTCATAGAAAAGCACTATTGGCTAGTACTAAATACAACCTCTAAATAAAATGGCAGTTACTATAATAAGCACCACCCACATTCATATTGTAAAATCCAGAGAACAACGTTTCGTCACGTGCTTTCCTTATCATCCTATGATTTGTCAAATGTGAGATTGGAATAACATGGTACTAAAATTGACACCTTTGACTAGGATTGTCTAAAAGTTTTACAACTGAGGTTTAACACGCCCAGACGCTGTTTTATAAATAAAACTAACTAAAAAAGGTTTAGGTACCAATCATAGATGGCAGGACCAGTGCTGAAATGGAAGGATATATTTGTAAAAAATTTTTTAAAATAATTTTCTTCTTAGAGGGCGCTTATTTACAATCTAAAACATATTTTAGGTTTTTATCATTAAATTCTTCTTTATACTTCATTATATAATACAATTTTGTACAAAATAATTGAATGTTATGCTACTATTTACAAAAATAAAATCTGAAATCCAATAAAAGATAAGTTCTCTATCATTTTTTCAATTCACAAATGTGATTTTGCCCTCACAATAAGATCAAAATGGCCACGGCAGATAAAGGGTTAAGCTTAACAATTTTTTTTAGAATTAATGTTACCTTATTTCCAACTAGCAACTGTTCAGGATGAGGAATAATGCTTAAATATTTATTTAGTAAAAACTGAAGAAAGAGTAGAATTTAATAACCCAGCCATCCCATAATCATTAGATACTAGCCTTCTGATATCATTCCTCAAAGGCCCTACTCCAATCCTAATATTTTGCTTTATGTGTTTGAAAGATTCAATTTTTTCTTTTTCAGTCAATCTTTTTTGATGCATATTTTTAATTTCCTAATTTTCCATTTGAACAGCTCTCTTGATCTTCTATAATCTTCCACCACTGTGGTCAATTTAAACTTATTATATTTATAATGGTTTTCTTTAAACCCTTTGGGAGCCAACCTCGCGTTTTTCTTGCAGCCACCCTTTTTTCTCAATAAGAAACAAGCCTATCTTGAATACTTAAGATTTTTAAAATATTTCTATGTTTGATCAGTATCTCCAACTAATTCAGTTGCCCAATTCACAGTACACGGTTCTTCTCTCATCTCATCAAAATTAGCTTTTTTGAAATCTGAAGCCAAAATCTCATTGTTCTTTATCTCCTTATGCAGCAAGACATCAAATCTAATTTAGTTTCACCTGGTGGCCAGTAATAAATACCAACTAAAAAGTTGTGTTATGATACATACCTTTACACACAATTCATTTCTTTATCATCAGAATGAAGTGATTAAAATTTGAATTTAATAAATGAAGAACAAGAGAAAAAAAAAAGAAAAATTATTAGCACAGTACTACCAGTCCACCATTTTAGAGTCAAATACAGATCAAAAAGACAAAGCCAAATTTAGAGGCGACTGTACCGCCACTATAATAAACGCAACTGGCAAATGTCTAACCACCAATACTCATAAAGCAGTTTTGCGTATTTCTCCCAAAAATGAAAAACTGCAAAAATAGAGATATCAGATTTCATATTAACAAAGAAAAGAATTAATGAAAATTCCATATGCATCCAAAAAACAAAATTCAGACATTTGAGTCACCATAATAAAATAATTGCAACAGATATGAATAAATGATAACCATAGTGAAAATTTATATAAAAACTAAAAAATATATATTATTGTAAGCTATATTTTCAATGTTGTAATTTGTTAGCTATAGGACGAAGGATGCAGAGAAGGCTCTAAAGATGTGACAAATTTTTGTCACAAAAAATTGAAGAGAGGAGTTAAAAGAAAGAGACTCACTGTTTAAAGGAATAAGGTAAAAAGTAAGTCTGAATGAATACAACATTGATGAAACTATTGGAGAAGTAGAAAGAGATTACAACAATAAAATTGAAGAAATAAAGACATGCTATAATGACAAAATTGATGAAGTAAAAAAAACAAGCACCAACGACATACAAAAAAGCATCATTGAGATAGAAAAGAACATCAGACATAATAAATGAAATGAACTACAAAATGCAAACAGCCAGCAAAACTCACACCCTTAATATCATCAGTAAATTTAAATAATGTATTGACCATTCCTTCAATTATGTTATTGAAAACCTTCAAGTAATATTTCTTATAAAACTAAATTATATAATTAAATATATAAAAAGTTCTTAGCAATATTTTCTATGCTAACTTTAGGTCTGACAATACACAGTTATATTTTTACAGCACATCGTAAAAAAAAATGAAATCAATAAGATATTAAACAGGAACCAAGAAATTATCATACGTTTACACTAAATTCAACGTAGAGGTTCACTTGAAACAGACTTTATCAATTTCACAGCTGAAGTGAGTTATGTACTTTCATTACTAATTGGTAACCAAACACTGTCAGTGTTAATATAATAATATAACAATTGCAATAGGTTTAATTATGAACTTTGTATTCTACATATCTTACTACTACTAACAACATTTCTGCAAATCTACAATGAATTTCTTTACATAGTGATAAAATTGGTTACAGTACAGGCAGACGAAGAGAACACAACTACCAAAGCTGTTTACTTTGACAAAAAATTATGTAACATTTTAACCTACAAATTACCTCAGTCATTTCTATTTCTTCATCACTGTTCTCTTCAAGTTCATCTTTTGCTATATCAAACTCAAATACAGTACTTGAAGATCTATCTTCTATGGAAGTGGATTCACTTGCTAGAAGTATAAAGAAAATATTTTTCTCTAGAACAATAACCTTGAATATAACTTATATACCATTATGTCATATATTAAATAAAGGCTGTAAAGAATACATACTTTCTCAGCATCTAAAAATTGACACATGTAACAATGTTCAAAACTTCAGTAGTTTACATATTAAACAAGCCAGTATTGTATTGATTTGTAATTCATATTAATACCACTAGCTAATATTTGATGATTCAGTTATATCACCACTCAGGCTTTACAAACAAGAGTGCAAAACATATTTCAATCTCTTGTGTGGAGTATTTCTTATGGGTGTGAGCAGTCTACTGAACAGATTAAGGGTTGATTCAAGGAGAGGAAACAAAGAGTTGTAATAAGTAAATGGGAGTTCAGTAAAACTACACTGAAGTTGCATGAGGAGCACCTTAGGATTCTGTGCTGGATCATTTACTGTTTTTGATATAAATTAACGATATTGATATGTGAATGGTCAATAAAGTTTACTTAAAATAATGAGCATGGTTAGCTGTGTATGAGGAGGATGTGGTTTTACAAGCAGATTTGAAACACTTGGTGAATCAGACAAATATGTCACAGATATCATTTAATTATGTTAAGTGGAACATTGTCAAGTTTTTATAGGAGCCAAATTCTTTACAGTAGGTATCTGTGAGTTGTTGAGGATAAATTTCAACGATAAACATATAGCACTCAATTCACTTGTTTTAAAATAATATATTCAAAAGAAGTCAAACGTATGTACAAAAATTCTTTACACTATAACACCCTTTGACAAGACAAATTATTCTCCTCTATCTTTGTTATTATAATATAAGCTGTGAAACACACTTTAGAATCACCACTATAACTACTGGTTATCACAGCTTTAAATAATTGTCTCCTTTTTAAAGTCCACACAGGCAGGTTCAATTACTTTAGAACTAAATTATTCTCCTCTTATATTACAATACAAGCTGTGATACTTTCACTTGAGAAATCACTCCTTACGGCTAATTCACATGCAGTCTAACTTTATTTTTACTAACTTAATTCAACACTCACACAATATAAACTAAATAATACTCTCATATTGAACTCAAAACAAATGGTTGTGTATATCTAATAGAGGTAATACATGTGCATGGATGTCTGCAGAGGAGAGCAAGGGAGGCACTTGCACCCCCTGGAAAATGAGAAATATAATTTCTCTATATTCGTTAAGCATATGTATATGAATTTTTTTCTTCTTTCCACAATTTCACTCTACTTTGCCCCCACCTGGAAAAATTTCTATGGAAGCCCATGTGAATGTATACTTTCTTAATTTAAACTATAATTATCACCTTGTTGAAAATCAATTCAATAATATTATGGATGAAAAAGGTTTCGGTGTTTTTGTCAATCAGTCTCTTAAGCCTTTCAGGAAATGCTATTCCCAGTGAGAAATCAAATAGGATTTGGGGTTTTATCTATATGAATAATGACTATAAGACAAAGGAGGTTAATGTTTCATTGAATATATCTCTTGTTAGACCTAACTTAGAGCACCGTTTTTATTCTTGGGTACTTTATGAAATAAAACAAGTTGTTCAAAATTATTAAAATGATGGCTATCAGGATGAAAAAGCTGTCTTAACAGAACAGGTTATGGTCTTAAAATTATTTTCTCTTGAAAAAAGGGTTAAAGTGGATCTGATGAAAGTGTTAAAAATTATAAAAGCATGGATATTGAATGAACATAATTCTTTGTGATGTTATTTGTAAGTGGTACGAATATAGATTTAACATTTAGCAAGACAGAAATTGTCTAACAATACAATTCAATATTTCAAACAGGGTGGTCAGCCTTTGGAATAGACTGCCTTCAGACATGGTACATGCTAGAGGATTGGGAGAGTTCAAGAGAGGACATGACGAGTACTTAGGAAATCAAGGCTGTTTATGGGCAAATAGGTTTGGTGATTAGAACTGGATAGACATAATTGGCTATTGTTATCTTTCAAATGCTACAACTAACATTACTTCCTGTTCTATGTGTAATACATTTATTCACATTGTACATTATTCTTGTTAAAAAAAAGTTTTGGCTATGTAAGTTCAGTACGTGATTACCATGAAGTTGTCATCTAACACAGTTGATTTATGGTTGTTGGACTGTTTTAAAAATACAATTTATGGAAAAGCACAGAAATAAACATAACTTAGCGGTTTGGTCAATTTTTATTACCTATTGAAAATCTGGACAGCAAGTTCTATCTTTCATTTGTTTAATAATAGTAATTTTTAGCTTGGATATTTTAGATCTCATTAAACTATTCATATAGTTGTGGGATCTAGAATATCATCTTCAGTATATATGTTTTTACAAATCATACCCAGCAGTACTGGTTAGAGTAAGAAGTTTAAAATCTAGATTTTATACTGGTTTCGTTACTGTCAGTAACTACTTTTTAGTAATATATATAGTAATGTAAATATATGGGTGACTTGGGCTAAGGATTCTTCTACAGTAGGTGTCTGTGACTTGTTGGCAATAAATTAGACAATAAACGAACAGCACACACTCCAATTGTTTATAAAATAATATATATATATTTGAACCATATATACAAAAATTCTTTACACTATGGGGATCATAGTTGTATCTTAAACACTATACAGTTCTCTTCTTCTTGTTAAAAGTCTACATAGGCCAATTCAATTGCTTTAGATTTCAGTTGACATAATGAACTATTTTTCTGTACTTTAATTGCAAATGTATCCGTGTATAATTCACTCACACTGTTGCACGAGTTACTGCAGTTGTATCCTGAGCTTTCAATAATCGTCTGCCTTTTGTCAAAGTCCACACAGGCAGGTTCAATTAGCTTAGAACACCCTTTGATGAGACAAACTGCCAATCTTACTCTAACATATTAACCATTAGGCCATTCACTCTCACAATGGTTAACTTTACATTTTCTAACTTTTCTCTGACCAAACTTCTCTTTCATGTGACTTTACTTTTACCCTGTTTCTGCTCGTCTGGTCGCAGTTATTTATACATTTATCACTTAGGACTTCTAGAAATCTCCATAGCCTTGACATCAATAGATTTCAAACACAATGTTTGATAGCCTCGACATCAATGAATTACAAACACAAAATTAATTAATTAATATTACTACCTACAAAATAATTCGTCTTTTATATCTGACAGTTACAAGCAACTATCTTCTCACAACTGGCTTGTAACAGTGAGTGGTTTTAGAAGTGGAATCTCGTATCTGCTTTTAATTTCATTTTTTCACATGTGAGGCTTTATCTGGCAGATGGTGTATCTCTTCTACTGTGTGGGTCCTGCTTTCATGTATTAGATTTTCTGTTTTGGCCTTATTGTCTGAATAGTTTTATTAAAACAATGCAAGGAGAACATTTTTACACACCAATTCTCTTAGATGTTAAATTTAACTGCTTAGTAATATTTATCTTGACAGTCTGAAATAAATATCAGTATTATAGATTTGTAGTAGATATATATATATATATATATATAGGACTATACTGTTTTTCCTAGATGTGAAAAAAAGCATTTATGTGAATGAATAATAGACTGACAAAGTAAATATATTTTTATTCACAAAACCCTTTAGTTGTTTTACTATTTTATTGTGTTTTCCTAACAAAGCATACTGTTCATTCTGAATACTTTTTGCATTATAACATTAGACTTTCCCACAATTTTCTACAACAGTGAACCAACTTATTTCAAAATTTACTCTTCTAAACGAGACTAACATATGGATAGTGGGTTAAATGTTTAATAAAGAAACATGCTAAATGATGTGGACTGACTGTTAGATGTGCAATATGTAAAGTACTAAATTAAAAGGGTTTTGAACATTATGTAAAATTTGATGCACAGAAACATTTGTAAGCAAAACTCCTAAGTTTATGACAATTAGTTGAACCAACATTGAGAACAAATGAAGCTTACAAGTGGGAATAATACATTCTATTGCCAGTTATTTAGATTTCAATATAGGGTGGGTAAAGGAGCCAAAATTAGAAGTTTATTATTATTATTATAACTAAGACTAATTTTTAATTACTTAAGTTAGAACTGATACATACAGACTCACACACACAAACTTCTATTACACTTAGTTTGCAAAAATATCTTTTTGTATTTCCCTAAATTAAATACCAAGCAATTGAATGCTTCTTGATATCACAGTTATGCATTTATGGGTGAGAAAAGTGAGAAACTAGTTCAACCTTGATGAAGAAATTCTAATTACTACATATTGCAAACAACTGGATTATCAAGTCTTCTATATTTTTATAAAATTTCTGATCAGTGATGGAAAATGCTGTTATGTGGCTACATTATAAAAGGCAGCATTTGTACAATGGTGATAAAAATTATTTCCTAGCAATGACATAACATATTCTTAATATCTTTACTTACAAGGTGATGGTTTTATAGTTTCATTTTTCACATGCTTGATATCCAGCAAAACATTCTGCTCTTCATCAGAAAAGGGTTCAACTTTCATCTCAAGTACTTCCATCCTTTATGTACTTATTTAAAGACTACCAAGAAACAAAATTAGAGTATAAATCCTTCTAAAAGACTATTACCACCAAAAAAGTAAAGGAAAAATATTAAACTTTACATTACAATTACCTAGGAATTAACAGCCTTAAAATTTATAACACATCATTATGAATAACAAGGAACTATTCATTCCTTCTTGGCTGTTCCAATACATCAACTTCTGAGGAAGTGTAAAAATTTAGATCCATGCTTTATTTTTAAAGAAATCATCTGTTCCTCTCTTATACTCCCATTAGGTGAATAGATGCCAACCACCAATACTACCAATGGTAACTCTTTCCATAAGCTAACCACCTTGGAAAAATAAAACTGTCTTCATTTAAGCCTAACATATCCTTTCCAAATCTTTGGCCTGTGTATTTTTGACATCTGTTTAAAATGGATAATAGAAAAAATGCTTAACAGGAGTTACTGTGTTTAAATTTAAAACACACATATACAAGATAAAATTTAAAGATGTCTTGAATAAGCTTGTCAAAATGTTGTATATTTGTAATAGTTTTTTTTGCTACCCATTGAAGCCATCACCAAACTTTATTTCCTAAAAGTGAGATCTTCATCATCAAATTCACATACAAGCTTTGTACATCACAAGAGACACACTTCCCAGTGTTATGCCAAAGAGACATTTTCAGTAATGAAAGCAATATAAAAATCATGATAAGCCATACAAATAACTTATTTAATGTGAACTGCATTAATGAAGCTTAATTTGATGTGGAAAGTATATAATAAAAACATTGAGAACTTGTTTAGTCCTACCTTTATCAGTAGACTATTACTGCCAGTGAGGACATGTACAATATGCAGCTTTAGCATCCTATGTGGTATCAACAAAAGTTATTTTTCTTGTGAATAATGAAAATAGCTTAACATACTGCAATTCAACATAGTTATTTATTATTAAAGGGCAACTTCAAATGTAATAAATCATGTCAATGCTACTTTTCTGGGGATAAGAGCAAAGTTTTTCTTCAAGCTTTATATAAAATACTTTTGCATTGACCATCCTTGAAATCTGGATTAGTGGAAGACTACAAAAGTTGTTGACTTCTAAAGTCACCAGTTCTTTGTTAATCCATTATTCTTTTATAAATGTTTTAGTGTGATTTCAATACCACTGTTGATATATTTTTACTCAAAAAAGAAGTTCACTGTATAGTCCATAACACTCACTGATAAAAGTGATTAGTTCAACGTGTAAATGAAATAAAACGGCAAAAAAAAAAACTTGTTATGAGAATTTTCTTCATACTTCTTACAAGTAATAATAAGGAAATATTGATTTCCTGTATGTTTTTTGTATACAGTTTTGGCACTTATAATAAACCATCTGGAGCTTGCTCGCATTATCAGCAGACAGCATACACTGTTGATGAAACCACATTGTTTGGATGAAACCACAAATGGGATAAGTCTATGGACTTACAACACTAAAACTGGGGTTAGATTCCCTGCAGTGGACTTGCTCAAAAACAAACAAACCAACATCTGTAGACAACCTAGATATACTTGTGCTGAGGATCCCCCACACATTCAGTTGCATATCATCCAGCTGTTATCTTCATTTAATGCAGATTCCAGTCTATGAAGTATACCACCAGCATATTTCTTATTCCCCGAGATGTTCAACTTGGAGAAAGCCTTTCCACTGGATGAAAATGTTGATCATATCTTTGAATCCTTTCCAAGTCCTGATCTTTTTTCCTCCTTTTCATTTGTGGTTGAGAATAACAATGTATCTAGGATCTTGCAAGCATGCTGTTTATGGTACACAAAAGAATGTTGCTAACAACAGAGCATGCATAAATAAATTTCTGTCAACGTTCTTTTTTCACATTATGCAAATCAACTGAGTTATTTATGAGAACTAAAGTGATTATCATACTGTGTATTTTATTACTTAGGTTACTACTGGAATTACTATGCTTGCCATCGGTAGGCTTATAGCTGGTAAAAATAAAGGATATAAAGCTAACACTATCTAAAAAATCTACAAAATAAATATCCAACCCCTTATAGAATACAGCTGCCAAGTCACCATAAATATGCCGGATAACACACTCAAGAAAGTATAATATTAACAGAACATTAGTCAAAGTTACACACCCATTATCTATTTACACAAAGTAAGTAAATTCTCACTTAAAGGCAAGCTAAATACACTGGCTAAAAATTATTACAAAAAAGCAGAAACAAGAAACACATTAACCTCTGCCCTTCACACCATTACATGTGCACCACATACAACAATATCCCCTTACAATATGTACCACAGCCAAACACAGAATATGCTCACACCATAAGCTTCACTTAATTTTATATAACTAATCCCATGTTTTTGCCCTACAGCAGGTAGACTATTCGGCACTTGTCCTGTGAAAGCAGGTTTTCTCATGGTACTCCCATTCTCACACACACAGCAAATTCCATGGCATTGAATTTATATATTACTGCTAACCTATGACCTTGATTATGGGCTGTCAATGTTTGTCAATACTTGAAATCCAGGATCCCAGCCTCAACCCTCACCACGTCGTCTTTGATTTCACCTTGCCATTAAAATCAAGACTAATATCCTAATAGTTATTAAAAGCCCACTTTAGTTAAAAGCAATCTTCACAAGCAGGGCAAAGGATGATGGGAACCCCTGAACACCATAGTTGAGAAAAGTTCCTCTCCATTTCAAACTAAACACCTACCATGAATAAAATAGAAAAAATAAAAATGCCATTGGTAAAATTTTTAGGGCCTGGTTTAAATTGAAGTGCTTTAAGCCACAGTAAACATTTCAAACACTAAGCACAGTTAAGATTAAGTAAGTTATATGTATAGCTTAATGTGATATTTTTGTTATTTAAAATGTCCAATCTCTCTCTCGTGTGTGTGTGTGTGTACATGTAGATATATAAATTGTATAGTATTGGAAAGTGCCCCTCTTGCAATGCGCGAAGTATGTATGTGAATGTTCAAATTACAGTTGCTATAACTAATCCTTAATTTGTCAATTTCTTGATAGTATATTTCATTGTTTTAAATAAAACTTAAAAGTACATGTGATAACATATTAATATTTATAAAATATTTAAGTAATAAAAAATTACAAATTTAAATATACCCAAATATTAAAAAAAAATTAATTAAATGCGTATGCAAAACGTAATTAAATGCTGAGTAATTATCACATTGTATTCTCCTCACTTCCTAATCCTACCCAAAAAACAGTAGTTAAAATTTTTAGTTTTAAAATTTTATGATTGAAAAGATAAATTATAACTCCGCAAAATTAACGTTTACTGTTACACTAAACTTGTGAATATTTCCATTTGAAATTGAATGCAAAATGACAGAAATAACACTTTATACAAAAGTTAGCACGTATTATCCTTGTACTTTTCAAATTTCAGTCTAAGAATGTTTCAACCATATAAATATTGTAAATACAATATGTTTATCGTCACAAACTAGTGAGTAATATTTCAACAAACATAACTTACTATTACTAAGACTAAATCTTATTTTTCACAAGTGGTTTCCTAAACAAAGAACTTAATTCCTCTGTCTACAAAACCCGCGAACACAGTACTGTATCGTGCTGACACCAAACGGGAAATTATCATAAATGTCGAACCAAAGCAAATTACGATAGTAATCAATGCAATTATTCACATTTTTTTTAGATAAATCATAAAATCACATTGAACACAAGTCTAAAGAGGTTGTAATTTCATTGTATATGTCACTGGTTAAATCATATATGGAATAACGTGTACATAGCCGGTCAAATATTATTCTTACTGTCAGGTTTTTATGTATGAGCCAGATTCTTTAAAGTAGGTGTCTGTCACTTGTTGGCGATAAATGTCAATAATAAACAAACAACACACAGTCCACTTGTTTTAAAGTAATATATTAAATTACACAGTTGGTTATCACAGTTGTATCAAGACCTCTAAATAATGGTTACGACAGCGGAAGTCACGTGACACTGGTAACACGTAATGAGTGTCTAGAAAGATCGAGGAACCTGTCGAACGTCCTAGCGTTTGCTAGTCTCGCGCTCTTATAGTATATAAACCGGCAAATAAAGTAACGGCAACAACTGAATTGCAGACAGAGAGATATAGAGACAAATAATCGAGTCAAGCCGTAAGTAAAGTGCGTGAATCGTTGTGAATTCTAGAGTGTGTTTAAGTTAAACTGACTGTGGAAATTAAGTGTACCGCAAAGTTGAATTCAGAAAGAATAAACTAGTTTTATTTAAAAAAAGAACTTGTATCGCTGAAGTTCTTCGAAAATAATTTCTACGGAAAATTAATAAGCGAACACAGAGACGTAACAAATTGGTTTCAAGAGTGGGATGGAAAAGAAAAAAATGGAAACGAGAAGTGGCAACTCAAACTACGACTTGGCAGATTTGATGGCAGCAATACAAGAACAGCAAAAGAAACAAGAACGAGAAATTAAACTAGAAGAGAGACAACAGGAGTGGCAAGAAAACCTGCAACAGTGGCAGCTCGAACAGCAAAATAAACAAGAGAGATTACACCACTTGTGGGAGGAAAAAGAAACAAGAAGAGAGACTACAGCAGTGGTTGGAGGAGAAAGAAAAGAAACAAGAAAAGATACTACAACAGTGGTTAGAGAAGAAAGAAAATAAACAAAAAGAGTGACTACAGCAGTGGTTGGAGGAGAAAGAAAATACACAAGAAAAAAGTCTCCAACAATGGAGAGAAAGCCAGAGTATACAAATGGAAAACATTAGTAAATTTCAAAGTGAATTAAATACCTTAAAGGATGATTTACTGTCTTTTACAAAAGAAAGATACATTAACCATCGACTTAATCAGCCCAAGACAATGGCAAGCCCTTTCCAGACCCTGCAGCTAAACCCTAATGCAGACATCTTCAGTCCTATTAGA